CTTTTGAATAGTCATATTTTGATTCTACCACTCATTCAGAATGCAGATTCATCACAAGAAGAATGAGCAAGAAACTTGTGTGTTGCTCTTTTTAATAGATGTTTTTTATATAAATAATTACAGTATAACAAGTAAAAGGCATGCGATAATCAACATAGAAATCGCTACGCACTCATTATTAGTGTAATCAGATAATATTGTCAGTGCTATGGATTTAAAGTTTTTCTATAAAAACATTATTATCGTTAACGAATTCTTCAATTTTAAAGTAAGCTTTTTTGCAAAGGAACTGTTTTATTTGACTTTTAAATCTTTTTTCTGGCAGATTTATAGCAGACTCTGGTATTTTATTGTAAAACCTTACGCAATTGCCATAAAATTATGGGCACTAGATAACTGATACAAATATATAGATTTTTTTTTTTGTAAATACATACATATACATAGAAAACACCCAGACGGATACAAACAATCATACTCTTAAATACAAATATTTGTACCGTGCAGAGAATCGAACCCGCGACCATCGGATATAATCGTTATTTGAAATTGCAACTAACTATTACTATCACAGATACATACATATTATACATAGAAAACACCCAGACCGATACAAACAAACATACTCATGAATACAAATGTTTGTATTGTGCGAGGATTCGAACCCGCGACCATCGGAAGTAAATCGGTGTGCTAAAACCACTAGACCATTAAGACCGTAATGTGTAGAAATTCAACACCAACAACAACTAGCCCAAAATCATAGTCTAAATAATGTAAATCTTTTAAACTACGCAACTGATTTTAATGCAGTTTTTAGCAATAAATAGTGATTCAAGAGGAAGATTTATAATACATGTACACCCGTGCGAAACCTGGGTGGATAACTAGTTAAATATATAAATACTAGTGTAACATAAAGTCTGTAGTACTAATCAGGGCAGTTACAACATCAACTCTGACTACCTCGTTTTGTATAGCAGTTGTGAAGGTAATCTACCTATACATATACATAAAATTGGAGTGTCTGTTTGTAATATTGAAATAACCGTTTTTTACTACATGCATATGAATATAAATACGGTACATGCACCAAAATAACATTTTTTACAATTTTTGTCTGACTGTCTGTTCAGGCTAATCCCTGAAATGGCTGGACCGATTTTGGCGGGACTTTTTTTGGCAGGTATCTGATGTAATAAGGAGTAACTTAGGCTACATTTATTTTAGAAAATTAAAGTTAAATTACACGCGGACGAAGTCGCGGGTACAGCTAGTATAAAATATATTCAAGGAAAATGTCACACAAGTATATATATATATGTAAATTAATTACAGGAATATGTACTTTTTATATTTGAATGTACACTGACGCACCGGTTGTAGGAAATATTACTAATTAATACACTTTAGACCAGAGGTTCCCAAACATTTTTGTGTCGTAGACGCCTTGCCATATTTTCTGTTTCGGGTAGACCCCCATTCTAACCTGGTATTGATTTTTTATAATTTTAGTGATTTCTAACTGCGATTTTAATAAGAAAGCAATGAGATAAACAAATTATAACGTTGTATTTAGTTTTAAATATAAATTTCTAACTGCGGTAAAGTTTAGTTTTAAAAACATAAAGTAAAACCAACAAGATGATCGATGTCGTAGATCCCTTGGAGTTTGTCATAGACACCTTTTTTTTTTAACGTGTGGAAAAATCTTCAACAAGACCGTCACCCCGCCGGAGGGATCGCCAGGTGGTGTGTGGGACTCGTACCCACTAAAAACCACACGGTATACCTCGAGGTGCCGCGGGCCGAAGTCCGGGGTTCGCACTTGGCACTCAACCCAGACTTCGGCGGCTTGGCCTGTCCTGTAGATGTTGTAGGACAGGCCCCCTCTCTCTGGTTAGGGTGCTATGGCTTGCACCCTACCTTCTCGTGGAGGCGCGTGGGTACACCCGCGCGCCTCCAGGGGCTTGGTTGTGGGGTGGTGCCGCCCTCAAGGCACCCTGGGACGGAGTTGGGCTCGTCCCGACGTCTGCGCCTGGTCCTCCGGCGGGACGAGACATCTAGACACCTAGAGGTCGATATAGACCACTTTGGGAATCACTGGTCGAGACTGATATAACCATATTACGTGGTTTACAAGAGCTCACTAGTGTTGTGCTGCTACCTACGTGAGCAAAGTTAGCGATATTTCTTCGAGATATTCTAATGCCTCCACAGAGGGCCTACAGCTTCGCGCGCCTAAAATAGGAACGATTGGGGAAAAGAAATTGTTTTGTGGACTAATAACCCCATTACTAGCAATGTACATGTCAGGTCGACCTCCACGCGGTCCCCCTGGAAACCATCCTGATAAATTCCTGGTGAACTTGTGACGATGTGCTAACTGACTGTTCAACATGATCCGTTAGCGCAGGCGGGTGCATCATTCCATTATCATCCACTTTAAAAAAAAAACCATCCCTTTCGCCCCTAGCCCTGACCTCATATTCATCTTATCATCCTCCACTGGTGCCCCGCCAGCGTAAACTGTTAGCGCAGGCGGGTGCACCATTCCATTATCATCTATAAGAAAAAAACGGACCTTGAGGAAACTTCAGACTACCGCTTAAGCATCAAAATAACGTAAATTTCATGCAGGTGAAATCGCGGACAGAGCTAGTCATTTATATTTGTATTGTATATTATTCTCAGGTAGGACATTTGGAGTGCTCTGTTGCACGCGCCACGGTCAAACTACTCAATTCAGAGTTGCAAAACTTGTTCTTCCGCTGTTAACCGTTACTTTTGCAGAAATAAAGAAACAAAATCGCGTAATCATATCTTTTTTATTTATGAACTGTCTACTCGCCCCGGCTCCGCCCGAGTGTACAAATGTATTATACATATAAACCTCTAGAATCACTCTATCTAATAAAACAAAACGCTTCAAAATCCGTTGCGTAGTCTTAAAGATTTAAGCATATATATAGACGGACAGCGACAGTGACTTTGTTGTATACTATGTAATGATATGGAATATTGCACCCGCCTGCACTAAGGGTATACACTGGCAAGTAATTAGTGGGCGATAATAGAACGATCACGAAGATAGGTAAGTTAGCGCATGGTGGTGACTGTAAGACTCGGTGGTCTAGCGATTTAGCACACCGCTTTACTTCCGATGGTTGCGCAATTCATTCCTCAGGGATGCAGGGATGGTAATACATCGAAATGAGGCTTTATTTGAGGTACGAGGAATCAAACACTACACCTAATAACAGTTTCTCCCCCAGACTAGATCTTAGTCTGTGTGCTTGTTCCCACTTTTTCGAAGCATATAATATCAACAAACTGTAAAAATTAATATGGACAAACTAGTTTTACCTAAGCGCCGTTTGACGAAAGTTAGTAATTCGTTTTATGGAAATTGCGTAAAATTTTATAAAAAACTTCCAGTCTGTACTCAATTTGCAAGGAAAAAGGTTTGAAATTTCTTATAAAATATTTCTTTGTAACAAAGCTTATTATAAAATTGAAGAATTTATAAATGATAACAATGTTTTTTGGAAAATATCTAACTTAAAATTCATAGCGCTATATGATTGAACAAGGATTGAGAGCGTAGCGGTTTCTATGTTGCTTGTCTCATGCCTAGTCCTTGTTACTGTAAATCTAATTAAAACAATATTTATTTAAAAGAGCAACACACAAGTTTATTGCTCATTCTTTTTGTGATGAATCTGCGTTCCGAATGAGCGGTAGGTAGTAGCGTGATATCATATAAAAACATGAGCAAGGTGTGCGAGTAATAGAAATGGCGTGGATGTACGGGCGCCGCACATCAATGATATGGACTGAGCTCAGGCCCTCCTTGCACACTGGGCCCGTGCCCAGGGCCTCGCGATGGATTGGGGCCCCCAAGTCTAGTCTGGTCTCTACTCCATTACCCAACGATAACCGATATCCACTCTCGCCTGAAAATCAATCTTAACAAATGCTTACTGACTTATGATCAATTTTTTTATAAATGTCTAGCAAGAAATTGAACGACACAATCACATAACGAAATTTTTAAAATTATATCTGCCTGGTTTGTTTTGAAGGTAGGGCATCCCCATATACATATCTAAAGAGTCAAGTTCAAAAATGACTTTGTCTATTCTAACAAAATAGTGTTTTATAATTATGGTCATAGGGCCTCATTATCCTAATGTGCCCAAGGCCTCTAATAGGTGAAAGACGACGCTGACTGTGCTTAAACATAAATTGATAACGTGTATAACGCCAGCTACAGAACTGATCAGCAACAGCAAGAAGAACTGAGGTGTTTTGGGAACTGGAACGATTTTATCAATCGTTTTAATCTTCAACTTGTGGGGAAAGGGGATTGTAATGAGGCCTCATAGCCTCATTACTAGCAATGTACCATGTCAGGTTGTCTTCCACGCGGTTCCCCCTGGAAATCATCACGATAAATTCCTGGTGAACTTGTGAACGTAGGGCTATTTGACCTGACCTCATCTTATCATCATCTGGTGCTTCTTCCTTATCCCATTTATTTGTGGTCGTCGTAATATGTTTTTCGCTTCCATTCATCCCTGTTCACAGTCATCTCGTTATTTACTTCCTTTCTTACCATATCATCTTTAACACAGCCCATCCATCTCTTTTTCGGCCTTCCTCTGCCCTTATAACCATCCACATTCATATGTAACACCTTTCTTAACATATTATCCTCGTTCCTACACATTACATGTCCATACCTGACCTCATCTTATCATTCTCCACAAGTGCCCCGTTAGCGCAGGCGGGAGCACCATTCCATTATCATCCATAAAAATAATCTTATTAATTTAAATGGGGAAAATTGCTTTCAGATACGTTAAATAAACTCGTATATCTAGGTACCACTGCACATATCGCTTCGCATATCCTTGATAGCGCATTATCGCTTACGTAGGACACCAACAGACTGCGGTCAGAAAATCTATATACATAATTTTAATAACCTGTTTTGTATGTCGTTTGCTTTCAACATGAATGGATGTCTGTTTGTCCTTTTATTGACTTCCTCAACTACATTTGCTATTAATAATGATAAAATTAATACCGTATTCAGTTGGAAACAAATTAGTTATGATTTTAAAGGAGTTTTATGTGAGTATTAATTTATTTTTATATTCTTCTTCCTTATACCACAGATAACATAATATTACATACTTATACTATTATTTAATATTATAAACGCAAAAACTACTGAACTGATTTTGACGAATCTTTACAGTAATATAGTTATAACTTATACATTAGCATAATATTTCACGCGGGTAGAACCGTGGTGTGCCCACGGTTCTACCCGTTAGTAAACATATATATGAATCTATTACAGACTATATAGGTCTATTACAGACTGTTATGATATGGCAAATCTACCGTCAGTTCGGAATGATTTCAATCTAAGAAGTACTGACAACAAACTCAATTTATTCTTTTTAAATTACAGATAAATTTTTAAATTCATATTACGTATAATAGAGAGGCCACCAATATATGCTATTGGAATTTTGTCAAAAATTGTGTAATCAGTGATCGTTTAAAAACAACACGCTCTTTCACAAGATAAAGATATTTAGTACAAAACGATCCTGTTCCAGCCTCTTCAGATTTCCTTGGACTGGTCTACTCTAAACACTACGACTGATTTAATCTTATTTGACCCAAATAAATTAGTGCTAGTTGGTAGTTTATAATCACACGTTTCGACTTAAAAATGTAAAGTTACAAGTATCCTTTAAAAGACCAAAACACAAGTTTCTCGCTCGTTCTTATGATGACAGGTTTCCGAATGAGTAGATTATAAAAATAAGTGTGTATACTATTGTAATTGTAGAAAGGAAATAGTGTAATCTGTGGCCGTACCTTACATTTTCTTTCTAACAGATCTAAATGACACGGAGTATGAAAGAAGCAACTCCAGCATATACTTCGTGCAAGAGTTGCATGACTCTGAGAAGTTCTTCCTGCAGTACAACAATGTACCCATCGGCTTTGAAGTTTATGGAGACAGAGTCTTCGTTACTGTACCCAAGAGGCGATATGGTATTTTAAAACTTTCTTTGTAGAGGGTCTGGATAGCCGTCAGCACTTCAAATAGTCGTGAATTTTCTTTCTCACTTATTGTCACAGTTATTGAAGTTAATGACAATGGAATGATGCAGCCGTCTGCGCTAATGGTTTACACTGGCACCAGTGGAGGATGATAGGATGAACATGAGGTCAGGTCTGTTAGCACATCGTGACAAAAACACCAAGAATTTATCACGACGGTTTTCAAGTTGAACTGAGTGGATGTCAACCTGACATGGTACATTGTTACAATAAGATCATCAATCCCCTTTCCCCCCCGATACACACATTTGTAATCTTGATATGATTGTATTTAAGTATTTATATCTGTTATCTAGTGTCCATAACAGAAGCTCTGCTTGGGACTAGATGGCGCTATGTGAATTGCTCAGGGATATTATTATTTTTTTTAAATTATAAATGTCGTAGCAGAAGCAGTCACGTAGGTTTTTAGATATAGTTATGTTAATTACTCTGACGTCACTTGCGTTATTCTCGACCAACATGGTCGAGAATATCTCAATTGTTTAACTCGTAGGTTATTATAATGAAACAAACTTAATGTAAGCACGTTTGAATAGTTACTGTATTTGTGATTCTACCACTCATTCGGAACGCAGATACATCACAAGAAGAATGAGCAAGAAACTTGTGTGTTGCTCTTTTAATTAACTATTATTATTATTACTAAGCAGACATGACTTACAAAGTCATGTAAGACTGTTGTAAGTCATGGCTGTACCTACAATTCCCGAATCATGCCAGCGCCGATATATACGCATATATTTAAATATATACTAATTCTAAACATATATATGTATGTATTTCTATATGTAAATACATACATAATATATAGAAAACACCCAGACTGATATAAATAATGAATACTAATGTATGCAATTAAGAGGAATCGAACTCGCGACCAACGGAAATAAAGCGTCAAAAAACCTCTTTCTTATGATTTAAAATGAAATTAATTTCCAGGAATACCATCAACTTTGAATTACGTAGAACTAGGGGGACCATCTTCGCCCATCCTGAAGCCGTACCCCAGTCCAAGATGGAGTGAGATCCTCGTCTCCACCTACCGTCCAAGAGTTGACGCCTGTGGTAGATTGTGGGTAGTTGATACTGGCCTTCTAGAAGTACCAGGTATGATTATTTCGTAATTTTATACCGAAGCACTCCAGGATTACGTGAGCTTTTGTTTAAGGGACAGTGGCCAGTTATTATATTATATAATATAGTATATTAATTTGGTATCTGTTATTGGCTTTACTAACTAAGTAATACTATATATTATCTGTAAATTGTATAAGCTGTTGATTACCTAAAATAAATAAATAAATATAATATTACAAATACACTTCTGCAGCACTCTAAATTGAAAATACTAAGCATTATTGGAACCGAGATATTATCACCGATAGAACAATAACATGTAATAGACCTGATATAACACTTACCTTTAAGCAAGAAAACACAACTCACCTTTTAGAAATCTCGATACCAAACACCGAAAGCCTAAAACAGAAACATAACGAGAAGATTCAAAAATACTTACCTCTTTCCGAAGAAATAAAAGATATGTGGCACCAAAAGAATGCCGATACAATTCCGATTATATTATCTTCTACTGGCGTTCTCCCAAATTCTCTACACAACTCATTCAATAAACTGCACCTTAATAAAACAATCTTCATTGAACTCCAGAAATCTACAGTATTATATTAACAGAGCAACACACAAGTTTCTTGCTCATTCTTGTGATGAGTCTGCATTCCGAATGAGCGGTAGAATAAAAAAACTTGACTATTCAAAAGTGCTTATATTAAGTTTATTTGAATATTTTTTATTATCTATTTCTTTTATTTCCACGGGCTTCCTGTATTTCTTCTAATAATAATGTAATAATAATATTATTAATATTATAAACGCGAAAGTTTGTGAGTATGGATGGATGTTTGTTACTCTTTCACGCTAAAACTACTGAACGGATATTAATGAAGCTACAGTAATATAGCTTATACATCAGAATAACATATACTGTTAGGGAATTTACTCTCTGCTACCAAAATGTTAGGGAAAGTACTATGTATATATATAGGGAAGCGTCTGTCACGTACCTGTATGGTTCTGCGGATTTCTTGGGCTTCAGGATCTCGAAGATATCTTCGCTAGCTTTCCAGTTTCACAATAGGTTTCACAGTAGGTTTAACACAGTTCTAATTTATTTTAATTCACAACAAAGGCGCGCGCGCGTCAAGGCCGCTGTACGGTCAGTTCAGTACTAGGTAAGGGAGGGGAAGTGAAAGCGCGGGAACAGAAAACTAACGGACTCTAATATAATAATCTGTGCTTACGATGATACAGGGTAGATTTTGAACATATACTATTCAATAAAGATTATTTCTATTTCTATTTCAATTAGATACATGCTCTATAGTTAGAAATGTTTTAAATAGTCCTGTTTACGCCGAAACGTAACATTATTTCATTTTTACCTATACTTTCCTTACGCAGCGATAGTTCGACCAATACTCTATTTCACTCACACGCAGCCGCGCATCTCGTTCATTCATTTTTAACTACCAATATAATAGAAACAAGCGCGCGTTTTAATTTGCATATCTGTCTCACTCACGCATACTCATCCCATGTATGTCCTTCCTTGTCCTACTTCCTGAAACCATGCAACATGTCAAAGGACAAGAAGAAATAGAAAGACGACTTCCGCCCAGTTAGTTCAAGTTCAAGTTCACCGCCGGCCGCCATCGCTAACGCTGCTCAATTCGCTATCCGCCTGTACAAAACTATTATATAATAAACGCATAAAGTGTGAATAAATCCGTAATGTGTTGTGTTTGTTAATCAAGAAGTTTTAAGAAAAACATTATAAAAATATTAGTCTTGGTGAATAGAAAAGAGAACCAGCGCCGAGAATCATCGGGAGAAGTCGAAGAAAGAATTCACCGGTGAGCTCCTTTTGTCCTTTCTACCTATTCACTCCAAGTCCTGGTCCTTCGTCCCGATTCCCTTTCTATCTACTTCATCATTCATTCATTATCGCTATTTACTTTATTTTCAAGTCATTTATAACGCAACCGCATTTAACTTATAACGGTCAATTTTTCTATTGCGCAATTCACAAGATCGCCATTTTGTTTCGCACCCACGCGCCGCACGCCTTTTTTTTATAATATTTAATTCGCAATTTTACTCCTATCTATAATACTTATTTATCACTTTAATTACTTTAACAATGTCGAAATTTAAAGACGCAGTTGCAAGTATTAGTAAAGATGAGGATCACCACGTAACGCTCCTTGAAGCAAAGAAAAATTCTTTGTTTAGCATCATTCAACATATTTATGATCTCAGTCTAAAGGTTTCCAATGAGAATTATAAGTTGCAATTTTTAACTCGCGTTTATTCGTTAGACAAGCTTCGTTCAGATTTTATAGAAACTTTAGATTCGTTACTGGAGGCTCGCTTAATTATAGACAAGACGGCAATACCGAACTACACGCCGCTTTCGTCATTCGATGAGTTATATTGTCATATTAAACAAGTGGAAAATTCTATAAAAAATCTTAAACAGGATAATAAAGAATTAGATTTATTAAGTCGAAAGTTGCCCCCTCTAAACCTTTTAAAGTACGACGGTTCGAATCCGAGTAAGTGGATTAGCTTCTACGAAAACTTTAAAACATTAATTCACGATAATAAAAATTTACATGACGCCGAAAAAGTTCAGTACTTGATTGGTTGTTTGGCTGGTAAAGCTCTTAATGTCTGTTCAGGTATTCAACCCACCGCCGATAATTACTCGCTATTATGGAACGCATTAGTAGAAAAATATCAGGATGTACGCATACAAGCATCACAATACGTCGATCAGATGTTACAATTTAAAAGTAATCAAACTCTGGATACTTTTATTGAGCAGTTCTGTTCAGCTGAATCTGCGCTTAGGCAGTTGAAAATAGACAATCTATCTGACTATCTGTTTTTACATATCGCTCTTACTAAACTCGATAAAAATATTGTAAACTTATTCGAACAAACTTATAAGGATAAAAATATACCTAACTTTTCAGATTTAACGCAATTTGTAAAAGAACAGTGTAAAATACAAACATTACGCAATTCTCACTCAAATTCTACTAATTATAAATCGCCAAATCAGAATAAATCAAATTATTCGTCAGATAATAAAAAAGTAACGCACACTAACGCATTTCTTGTAAACACGGACGCATCACCTTATAACGCACCACCGCAACAGATATATAGGCCAAAGGTCAACGCACCCTCGTTCGAACTCGCTCGCATACAGCCGCGTCAACTCTCATGCGCATTTTGTAATTCGCCCTATCCTCACGCTTTATTTAAATGTGATTATTTTATTAATCAATCCGTACACGACCGCATTAATATTATTAAGAAAAATAATTTATGTGCTAATTGCTTAGGTTTTCATAATATAAACGCCTGTAAATCTATAAATCGGTGTTATACATGTGGTTATAAACACCACTCGCTTTTGCATATAGATTCCAACATACGTTCACGCTATGACACAGCGCGTCCCACCCCGCAACCCGACCAAAGCCGCGTCGCTACAGTACAATCGGCTACGCCCGCCCCTCGTAGTACTCCGTCGAACGCACAGGCTACGAGTGGGAATTCAAATAATATAACGCTGTCGGTAACTACTCCCGCGCAGAATAAGTTAAACAATACGACTATTCTTTTACCTACCGCTGCTGTTCACGTATACAATCAGAATAAGCGTTCGAATGTACGTTTATTTCTTGATTCGGGTTCTATGAGTAATTTTATTACCAAAACATGTTGTAATCGATTAAACTTAAATATTACACCGTCTAATTCTACCAATAGGGGAATAGGAAAAACAGAGAGTACGTCTTATGGGTACACAACGTTTAAAATTCACTCACGCTACGACGCCCGCTGTTCGTATACAATAACTGCACGAGTCATAGACGTTATAACTGATTATTTACCTAATGTTCGCGTCGATGTATCGCAATTAGAACACTTGCAATCTTTACCGCTCGCTGATGATGATTTCTACTCACCTGGCAGTGTTGACTGTCTTGTGGGCAATGAGTTGTTCCCTATACTGCTTGGTAGTGATAAAGTGACATCACCTACTTCATCAGTTATTGGTTTAGAGACTACACTCGGTTATATAGTCATGGGAAAGGCTGACTGCGACTCTCCTTCTCAGAATAGTACGCTTTCAAATAATGACAAATTATTTTTCTGTCAATCCGACCCGCTTCCGCTTGATACTCTTACACAACGCTTCTGGGAGTTAGAAAGTGTTCCCTCTAAAACGCATATGAGTAAAGACGACGAGATTTGTGAAAACAATTTTAAATCGACTTATTCTCGAGATAATAAAGGTCAATATACCGTTCACTTACCATTTAAATTACCGCCTTCGAAATTAGGAAATTCATACGCTATTGCAAAACGTCAGTATTTACAATTGGAAAAGAAATTAGATTCACAGCCCGATCTACGTAAAGATTATAACTCCACAATTCAAGATTATATTGATAAAGGGTATTTAAGTATAGTAAAAAATCCTACATACGACTCTGAACATTATTACATTCCGCACAGAGCTGTTTATCGCCCTGATAAACAGACATCAAAAACACGCATAGTCCTCAACGCTGGTTGTAAGACCACGTCCGGATTATCACTGAACGACATACTTTATACAGGTTGTAATTTACAAACTAATATTTTTGATTTGTTGATGAATTTACGCATGTTTGCTATTGGTGTAACGGCTGACATAGAACGAATGTATTTCTGTATTAAACTCACGTTTGATCATCAACCATTTCAACGCATACTTTTTAGATTCAATACAGAAACTAATATACAAACTTATCAATTTAACAGAGTCTCATTCGGAGTCTCTAGTTCTCCCTTTCTCGCGATGAGGGTTGTGAGACAACTGGCTTCAGATAGTCGGACTGAATATCCTCCCGCCGCCCACGAGGCTGATAATCACATGTATATGGATGATTATGTATCGTCATTAGATGGTCTAGATGCAGCCGAAAAAACATATCAAGAGATGATTAATATGTTTTCTTCGGGTGGATTTAAATTAGTAAAATGGGTGTCCAACTGTAAGGAATTTATGACTAAAGTAGACAATTCGCATAAAAATCCGCAATTTGTAACATTTGACTGTGACTCAAACGCAAATACAAAAATTATAGGTATGCAATGGAATCCTAAAGAGGATAATTTTAAATATAAAATAAGTACAGATTCATCACAATGTACCAAACGCACTATTCTCTCTGTAACCGCACGTTTATTCGATCCACTAGGATTGCTAGGCCCGATTACCGCGTTTTTAAAGCTTCTAGTTCAGGAATGTTGGATGAACAATCTGGACTGGGATGCACCTACCCCATCCTCCATATCTAATAAATGGTTGAAGTTTCAATCTGAACTTCTATTTTTGGAACAGATTGAAATTCCTCGTCATGTAGGTATAACACGCAACTCACATGTAACTCTTATCGGATTCGCAGACGCTAGTGAGTCCTGTTATGGCGCCGTTGTTTATATCAGAGTGAGTAATGATGTCCACTCTGACGGTGTTGTCCATCTACTTTCTTCTAAGTCTCGCGTTGCTCCATTAAAAAAGATATCTCTCGCACGCCTTGAACTTTGCGCCGCCTTATTACTCGCTAATCTCCTCTCCGCAGTTCATGAGGTACTATCTAAACGCTGTCATATAGACAAGATATTCGCATTTTCAGACGCAACCGTAACACTCACATGGATTCATTCTCCCGCCTATAAGTTTCATACATTTGTAGCGAATAGAATAACTGAAATTAATTCAAAAATTGCCGCTTCCCATTGGTTTCACATCGACGGTAAAGAAAATCCCGCAGATATAATATCACGCCCTGTAACGCCGAAGGAATTATTTAATAATAAAATCTGGTTTTGTGCCCTTCCTTGATTTCTCTGCCACTAAAGGACTGGCCTATAACTCAATTTAAATTAAATTCATGTTCTGACGAAAGTATACCGGAGACTAAAACCACTTCATTAAAAGCAAATATAATTAATAATGAAAATAATAATCCTATGCAAATTATCATTGACCGCTATTCGAGTTATTCGAAACTTTTACGTACAACTGTTTATATATTACGTTTTACGAAACATTTATGCATCCGAGGCACTATAAATAGAACAGATTTAGATACCGCGGAATTATATATTATACGCTTCATTCAAAATAAACATTTTTCTCAAGATATTTTATCTCTTAAAAAACATAATATTTGTAATAACAAACCGCTTAGAAAATTAAATCCCTTCATTGATGACAATAACATACTTAGAGTTGGAGGTAGGCTATCTCAATCACAGCTTAATTGTGATCAAAAATACCCCATTCTCCTCCCTTATAAGGATCGCTTAACTCAACTTATTGTTGATTATTTTCACATCTCTAATTTACACACTGGTCCCGCTTTGTTACTCGCTTTAATTAGACAAAAATTTTGGATATTATCCGCTCGCAATCTAATTCGTCAGAGAGTTCATGCCTGTAATATATGTTTTAAGATAAATCCTAAAAATAATTATCCCCCCATGGGTGATCTTCCCGCTTTTCGCATTTCTGAGGTGAAAGCTTTCGTTCACACAGCAGTGGACTACGCAGGTCCATTTTTTATTACGCATATACGCCGCAGAGGTATTAAAAGTCAAAAGGCGTATATCTGTTTGTTCGTTTGTTTAACGACAAAGGCATTACATTTAGAATTGGTCACAGACTTAAGTTCAGATCTATTTTTAGCAGCGTTTAAACGTTTTATATCACGCAGAGGCCCTGTCGCAATGATATATAGTGACGGTGGTACCAATTTCATTGGCGCTAAGCGTAAATTAGATAATATTTACACTCTTTTGCATTCTAAAGCTCATATAAATTACATAGGTGATCAACTTTCACAACAACGTATTCAGTTCAAACATAGTCCGCCATATGGTCCGCATTTTAATGGTTTGTGTGAAATTAATGTCCGTTGTGTAAAAACACATTTGAATAAAGTAATAGGTACACATATACTCACCTACGAGGAGTTCAATACCGTATTAGTGCAGATAGAAGGATTACTAAATAGTAGACCGCTTTGTGTGTTGAGTTCTGATCCGTCTGATTTAGCCGCACTTACTCCTAACCATTTTTTAAACGTCACGCCCTTAAAATTTTTACCCGCCGAGGATTATGTTGAATACGCTGATAATCGCCTTACTCGCTATCAATTACTGAATAAAATAACGCAGTCTTTCTGGCGGAGGTGGAGTCAAGAGTACCTCACTTCCCTTCAGCAAAGACAAAAGTGGAATACACCATCTACACCTGTTCATCGGGGTATGGTTGTCATAATTAAAGATAATAATACGCATCCACTATGCTGGGCTCTGGGTGTTATTGATGAACTTTATCCTGGTAAAGATAATATCGTTCGTACTGTGCGCGTTAAAACTTTGTCAGGAACTTATATTCGACCTGTAGTTAGGATTTGCCCCTTGCCTCTCCAGTAATACAATTAATTTTCTTATACGCATGCATTTTTTTTTTTTTTTATCGTTCGCTTATTTTATTTTAATTTTACTTAATTACCGCATTCAATTAACTTACTTTGTTTAGAGGAAAACCTCTAGGCCAGGGAAGTTGTTTACGCCGAAACGTAACATTATTTCATTTTTACCTATACTTTCCTTACGCAGCGATAGTTCGACCAATACTCTATTTCACTCACACGCAGCCGCGCATCTCGTTCATTCATTTTTAACTACCAATATAATAGAAACAAGCGCGCGTTTTAATTTGCATATCTGTCTCACTCACGCATACTCATCCCATGTATGTCCTTCCTTGTCCTACTTCCTGAAACCATGCAACATGTCAAAGGACAAGAAGAAATAGAAAGACGACTTCCGCCCAGTTAGTTCAAGTTCAAGTTCACCGCCGGCCGCCATCGCTAACGCTGCTCAATTCGCTATCCGCCTGTACAAAACTATTATATAATAAACGCATAAAGTGTGAATAAATCCGTAATGTGTTGTGTTTGTTAATCAAGAAGTTTTAAGAAAAACATTATAAAAATATTAGTCTTGGTGAATAGAAAAGAGAACCAGCGCCGAGAATCATCGGGAGAAGTCGAAGAAAGAATTCACCGGTGAGCTCCTTTTTGTCCTTTCTACCTATTCACTCCAAGTCCAAATCCTAACATTCCTACTGAATAAATTAAATTAAAATATGAGAACAAATAACTTTGTAAAAAAAAAAACCCGTCCTTGTTTCTACAAAACCAGCTATAGCTGAGAAATAATATACATACATAATAATGATATTAACTCTCCATTGCGCATACCTAAACATAGGACCTATTTTTGAAGAGCCCATCACGACCACGAACAAGTGTGTGTGATAGCTTACATCTCAATTTATAGTCGCAATATTATTCTAATCAAGAACCTCAGTTACAGCAAGGCGTATATATAACAATAATATATATTTTGCAGTTGGTAGAAAACAGTTGAAGCGTCCGGCTGTCATCGTGTTTGATTTGAAGACCAACAAACAAATTCTGAGGTACAATTTGAAGGAAACTGACTTAGTCAATGAAAGAACCACTGGAGGTAAGAAAACATTTTAACGACTCAAGTTTCTTAAGGACTATATATATATATTTTATTTTATTTTTAGTTTGAAGAGAAACTACGGTTGCTTATGGTAAAAGACATATTTAAAACTAGCTGTACTCGCGACTTCGTTCGTGTGGAATGGTACTTTAATTTTCTAACATAACATATAAAACGAATTCCTGACTTTAGCCAAACGACATTTAGGTAAAATCAGTTTGTTATTGTTACGTAAGCTTTTATTGGTGCAATCACTAACTCTTTTGAAACTATCTATATTGTTCCTGGCATACATGATATTTTCATAAATGTATTGAGAAGCAACGGTGAGGATATTTGATTCCTTAAAACACTCTCGCTATGACTCCCTGGAACCCATACCTTAAATGGAGCGATTGGCCCTCTTTTGTAAACTTCTTTAGTTAACTTCTTAGAAGAATTGCGACTTTGAAGTGGCAATGGGCAGGGCACATAGCTCGTAGGACAGATGGCCGTTGGGGCAGTAAAGTCCTCGAGTGGCGACCACGGACCGGAAGACGCAGCGTGGGAAGGCCTCCAGCAAGGTGGACCGACGATCTGGTCAAGATCGCGGGAAGGCATTGGATGCGAGCAGCGCAGGACCGATCGTCGTGGAGATCTTTGGGGGAGGCCTATGTCCAGCAGTGGACGTCTTCCGGGCTGCGATGATGATGATGATGATGATTATAATTTTATTAATGTAAGTCTTTTTTTAAGTACCCCGCCCTAATAGGCTTAATCTGGAGGGACGGGGATTGTTAGTAATGATGGTGGATTGATAACCCCATTGCTAGCAATGTACCATGTCAGGTCGACCTCCACGCGGTTGCCCCTGGAAAGCATCGTGTTAAATTCCTGGTGAAATTGTCACGATGGGCTAACTGACCTGACCTCATGGTCATCTTAGCATCCTCCACTGGTGCCCCGCCAGGGTAAACCGTTAGCGCAGGCGGGTGCACCATTCCATTATCATCCACAAAGTAATAGGCTTAATCTTATCTTGGCTTATCCAGCCACTCGGGGGTTGTTGCCCCCGGAGTTGACGCCGGGGCAAAGGAGCCCCAACCTTCACCTCTACCCCACGGGGTAAAGATTGGGGCCTCGTTTCTGGTCACACTCTCAATCTCTTCCGGGTTGAAGCTTCTTAGGGCTAGAATAAATTAAAAACAACTTAACCTAAGGCCATACTTGATGTACAATTTTTATTTTTATACTTTTTTTTAATATTCGTTTTCTTTTTGATGACCAGTGTGTGTGTTATAGGCAACAGTTGCCGTTTACCATCAAATCGGCCGTCAGTTTTTCTGTCATTCAAATAAAGAAACACGTTGTTTCCAGGACTGACCTCAATCACAGTGGATGTAGACCCAAAGTCATGTGAAGACGCATATGCCTATATCAACGATTTAGCTACGAACGGTGTTATAGTGTTCTCCATGAAAGAAAGAGACAGCTGGAGGATAAATCATAGCAGTTTTGTTCACGACAGCAATGCTTTGAATTTCAGTGTGGCAGGTAATTTAATTACTACATATCTAAATATATATAACTCAAAGGTGACTGACATAGTGATCTATCAACGCACAGCCCAAACCACTGGACGGATCGGGCTGAAATTTAGCATGCAGGTAGATGTTATGACGTAGGCATCCGCTAAGAAAGGATTTTGATTAATTCTACCCCCAAGGGGATAAAATAGGGGATGAAAGTTTGTATGAAACTTTGTCAATTTTAAACCGATCGGGCTGAGATTTTGCATGCATACTATGACGTAGGCGTCCCCTTAGAAAGGATTTTGATAAATTCCACCCTTAAGGGGATAAATTATGCGAGCGAAGCCGTGAGCAAAAGCTAGTTTAATAATAATATCCGGGGACAATTAACACAGCGCCATCTAGTCTCAAGCTGAGCAGAGCTTGTGTTATGGGTACTAGACAACTGATATGAATATTAAATACATAATTTCCTTACTAATCCTTACTAATATCACAGACAGGATAATATTACAAATGCGAAAGAAAATTAGTCTATCTGACTGTCTGTCTCGCTTTCACGCCAAAACTACTTAACCGATAAAATTTGGTAAATAGATGGTGTAGACACTGGCTACTTATTAATGCAAAAATAGGGTTGTAAGGGGACATGAAAGGTTGTACGGAAGAATCGTCATCTTTTAAGTCCGCGCGGAATTTAACTTTATTTTTCTAAAATAAATGTAGCCCAAGGTACTGCTTATTACATCAGCTACCTGCCAAAAATATCCCGTCAGAATCGGTCCAGCCATTTCAGAGATTAGCCGGAACAAACAGCCAGACAGACATACAGACAAAAATTGTAGAAAATGTTATTTTGGTGTATGTACTGTATTTATATTCATATGCATGTAGTAAAAATCTATTATTTCAATATTACAAACAGACAATACAATTTTATTTATATGTATAGATAAAAAAAAAGGTTCGACTGGGGAAATGAAAGGTTATAAGGAAGGATCGTCATTTATAAGCGAGAAGCTTGAAAACTTGATTTTTAGGTTGTTGATCAAGGATAAATATGACAATCGAATTTTGTAATAAAATTAACCTTAAGAGGGTAAAATAGGGGATGAAAGTTTGCATGTAAATTATAATAATAATGGAATGGTGCACCCGCCTGTACTAACGGTTTACGTCGAGGCACCAGTGGAGGATGATACGGTTTACGTCGAGGCACCAGTGGAGGATGATAGGCTGAGCAAGAAGTTAGGCCAGTTAACCCATCGTGACGATTTCACTCGGAATTAACCACGATGGTTTCCAGGAGTTTTAGCGTGGAGGTTGACCCACTCCGATCGAACCCCCGTCCAATTCAAACGGGGATCAAAATTACGACGCCCTACGTCGAGTTCGAACCCCTAGCGATGCCCTCAGACTGGCATCGCATCCGTTAGGCGAGAGTTGGCCTTCAGCCGCTCCATAATTCATTTCTTTAGTTTGAAGTGCCATCTGCACTCGCCCCCTATCGTCCGGTGAAAAGGCCAGCTGCGGCCAACAGCATTAGAGTAGCCCGGAAAAAGGTTGACCTAACATTGTAAATGTTAGCCACGAGGGTACTATTCCCCATTATTGACAATTCCCGCACTAAAACCATTGTTTTTTATTACAGGTAATGTTATCAATTGGAAGGACGGTATATTCAGTATAGCACTATCTGAACAGCATAAGAATGGCACAAGAACTGCCTATTACCATCCTCTAGTGTCTACTCAAGAGTTTTCTATAAACACCCAACATTTGAAGAATAGAAGTGGTGATATTGATGGGAAAGTTATGGTAAGTAAAGTTCTGGTAAATATAGAAACACGTTGTTTCCAGGACTGACCTCAATCACAGTGGATGTAGACCCAAAGTCATGTGAAGACGCATATGCCTACATCAACGATTTAGCTACGAACGGTGTTATATTTATTTTATTTATTTATTAAACTTTAATGCACAGATACATTAATAAAGGTGCACATGGCGGACTTAACACCTAGAGGCATTTTCTCCCAGTCAACCATAGGGCAAACAGAGATTCATGTGGGCGGTACATTATGATTAACATAATACTTACATAACGTAATAATATATATATATATATATATATATATATATAAATACATACCAATACATATATATACAATATATATACAAATCAACAATGAAAGTCAGATTCCTGAAGGAGGAGAGGTAGAGGAAGATTAAATAGTATTGAAATTTGGGATAAAAGGAATTACTCTAGTTCAAGGAAAGGTGTTTACGTAATTTTGATTTAAATGAGAATTTATAGTGTCCATGAAAGAAAGAGACAGCTTTTTTTTCGGACTACTCTAATGCTGTTGGCCGCAGCCTTTACAGCTTCACCGGACGTTATGGGGCGAGTGCAGATGGAACTCCAAACCCGCGAAAGAACTTATGGAGCGGCTGAAGGCCAACTCCTGCCTGACGGATACGACTTTAGTCTGAAGGCACCGCTAGGGGTTCGAACCTAGGCTCAGGCCGTCGTAATTTCGATCCCCGTTTGAATTGGACGAGGGATCGATCGGAGGGGAGAAAAGAGACAGCTGGAGGATAAATCATAGCAGTTTTGTCCAGGACAATAACGCTTTGAATTTCAGTGTGGCAGGTAATTTAATTACTACATAGACTATAATAATATCCGAGAACAATTCACACAGCGCCATCTAGTCCCAAGCTGAGCAGAGCTTGTGTTATGGGTACTAGACAACTGATATGAATATTAAACACATATTTTGTTAAATACATCATTTCCTTACTAATATCACAGGTAGGATAATATTACACATACATATAGCACTATCTGAACAGCATACGAATGGCATAAGAACCGTTTATTACCATCCTCTAGTGTCTACTCAAGAGTTGTCTATAAGTGGTGGTATTGATGGGAATGTTATGGTAAGTTATCAACATGGACGTAGCCAGGGTGGGGTATGGTGTAGTGCTTGAACCCTGGCTTTGACCTGTAAGGTACCTAACCAAACCTAATAAAAATAAACTACCTAAGTACTAAATACAATATTTAACAATCATAAGAAAGTTCATACTCGATATCATCATCTGCTTCTTCCTTATCCCATTTATTTGTGGTCATCGTAATATGTTTTTCGCTTCCATTCATCTCTGTTCGCAGTCATCTCGTTACTTACTCCCTTTCTTACCATATCTTTCACACAGTCCATCCATCTCTTTTTCGGCCTTCCTCTGCCCTTATAACCATCCACATTCATTTGTAACACCTTTCTTAAAATATTATCTTCATTCCTACGCATTACATGTCCATACCATGATATACGATTACTCTTCAACCTCTCTGACACCGGTGCCACTTTCATACTTCAAAGGTCATACTCGACAGTCGACCCAAAAAATAACAGTATGTTAAACAACTAGACTACCGAGATATATACATATATCTGTATAATTATTTATGAGTATATAATCTACGATTGGTCACAATTTTTTTCAGACCCTCGGCAATAGAGGACCTCTAACACAGAGTGGGTCTCACGACTACCATTATGGCTCCAGAACAATGCTGTACGCCAATGTCGCACAAGATGCCATTCTGTGTTGGAATGTAGACACCGAAATGAAACCTGAAAATGTGGCCATCGTAGCACAGGACCGTGAAAAACTTGTATATATATCTGGTAAACAATCTATACATATACATAAAATTGGAGTGTCTGTTTGTAATATTGATATAACAGTTTTTTTACATGAATATGTATATAAATACGGTACATACACCAAAATAACATTTTTTACAATTTTTGTCTGTGTGTCTGTTTGTTCCGGCTAACGCTCTGAAATGGCTGAACCGATTTTGACGGGACTTTTATTGGCAGGTAGCTGATGTAATGAGTAACTTAGGCTACTTTTATTTTAGAAAAAATCTTTTATATTAGAAACATAAAGTTGAATTCCACGCGGACGAAGTCGAGGGTACAGCTAGTTAATAATAAAAAGTTATTTAGTACTAGATATACCCGCGACTTCGTCCGCGTAAATTGTCGATACTTCCATATAACCTTTCATCTCCTTTCAACGCCTTACAAACCTTTTTCGGATTAAACCTCAGGTTCTAGACTATTTGTGTACCAAATTTCATTTAAATCGGTTCAGTAGTTTTGGCGTGAAAGCGAGACAGACAGACAGAGTTACTTTCGCATTTATAATATTAGTAAGTATAATAAGATCAATATTTTTATGTACATATTGTCAGTCTGTCTGTCACCTGTCTTTCGGTTGAGACGATGTGTATTACATCGTCTCAACCGACAACAGAATAGAATAGAATACAAAATCATTTATTCAAATAAACTTACATTGAAGCACTTTTGAATAGTCATTACATTTTTTTAATCTACGAAAGCTGTCTCATCACAAGAAGAACGATCAAGAAACTTGCGTGTTGCTCTTTTAAATAATTTTATTATTACTTTACATTTTTAAGTTGAAGTGTGTGAATGCAACATCGTATATAACCCGCAACAGATGACAATGTTTATCTGATTATCTTGACAAATGATTACATTTTTTTTCAGACCTCAAAGTATCCGGCGATGATGTATGGGTCCTAGTGAATCAAATACCTACATTTGTATATTCCAAACTGAATCCTAGCGTAGAAAACTATTTCATACACAGGTAAATCCTCTAACGGGACTGGGGATAGCCCTGTCCCATTCAAATGGGGATCGGGATGGCCCTGTCCCATCCAAATAGAGATCGGGATGGCCCTGTCCCATCCAAATAGAGATCGGGATGGCCCTGTCCCATACAAATGGGGATCAAATTGCTTCGTCTTGCTTTAGAGACTATTTTTAATTTATTTTCATACTAACTCTGCCCGTGGTTTCACCCATTTCAATATATAAATTTCAATAAAAAATATAACCTGTATGTTATTCTGATGCATAAGCTATATTACTGTAAAGTTTCATCAAAATCCGTTCAGTAGTTTTTCGTGAAAGAATAACAAACATCCATACTCACAAACTTTCGCGTTTTTAATTCCAAAACTTAAAATTAATATTCAATAACTACTGAACGGATTTTGATGAAACTTTACATTAATATAGCTTATATATCGGAATAACACATAGGCTATAATTTATAGATATTACGTAAATTGGGCGAAATATAGTGCTAAATGTCAAGCAAGTGTGATGCAGGCGATGTTGAGCGGGTCAATTAATAAATAAATAAAAATAAATATTTGTATGTGCTTCTTAAAGTTTTCCCGCCAAAAATCCATTGACATACAAATTTTAAAAAAGTTTTAAATTTACACAGAAGTATTATATATCATTTTAAAAGTATTTAGATAATGATTAAGACGGCGTGGTTAATTTAATTGACTTATATAAAAGTAGGCAATTCTAGATTATAATTTTGAAAAATTACATTTTTCTATTTAATCGACGGTATTTTAATAGTGAAAAAGTAATGTTTTTCTTTAATTTCATTTCAGGGCAAAGTTACAAGATTTAATAAAGGGTACAGTGTGTGAAAGAAAGTGATAAAAACTATTGTACAAGGAAGGGAGAAGAAGGGAAGATAAATTATATTCTCTATAATAAAAATAATAATGTACTTATACAACTCACACAGCGCCATCTAGTCCCAAGTTAAGCAGAGCTTGTTATTTTTAAACTTTCGTGTTTAATATACATTATTTATATTATTAACCGGGTCTTAACACGAATAATTTTATGGCAAATAAAGATATTTACCTCTCTCGTTTCGACTAGGTTGCACTAGCCGTGGTCACGAGCTGACTGGAGTAACAGCGATGTCAATGTACATAGGTGACTGCAGTTTTTTCATCTACCGTCACTAGATTGTTCAACGAAAGCAGAGCTTGTGTTATGGGTACTAGACTACTGATATAATATACATGTAAAACACCCAGACTATAAACATACAAACAATCATACTCATGAATACAAATGTTTAAAATACAAATCGAACCCGCGACCGTCGGATGTAAAGCGGTGTACTAAACCACTGAGCCAACAAGGCTATCATACATATATTATTATTGTATTTATAAAATTTTTCTTACTAACTGTAAAGTGCAAATAAATGCATATTAATTATTAATCTTAAAAAATACATAGTTTTTTTTATTAAAATTATAAATTCAAGACATTTTGTTTTTTTTAATCCCCAACGAAAGTAGTTTTAACGTCAATATGTCACTGTGTGGTGTGATATTTACCAAACGAATATGCCGATTATGATGCGGCTGTTTTAAATCTGACATAACCGAAATGTCACCTCCTAAGATCATTATAAATCACAGTTAAGAACCAAGTTATAATTTATAAAATAGTGTATTTGAAGACTTGATAAAATTATTGAAATTCCTGAACATTATATCCTAGATGCCACTCTAAAGGAAGGACAACTCCCGCCTAACGGATACGTTTTAGTGAGGGCACCGCTAGGGATTGGAACCTCGGCTCAGGCCGTCGTAATATCGATCCCCGTCTGAATTGAACTGAGGAGATCATATGTTAATATATACAACACTCGCAAAGCTATAGTTCATACAAGTAAAGGCAGAGCAACCCACTAGTATTTATACCAGTAATTCCCAAAGTGTTGTATATCGACCCTCAGAGGTCTATAACAATCTGCAAGGGGTCTACAACAGCGGTCATTTTGTTTTTACTTTATGTTTTTAACACTAAACTTTACTACAGTTAGAAATATACAAAAAATCAATACTAGGTAAGAATAGAGGGTCTACCCAAAACTGATAAATATGGCAAGGGATCTACGACATAAAAGTTTGGTAACCTCTGGTTATTTAAGTATTTATTAGTTACAAATGCAAGTAGTATTAGTTCACTCCGTGCAAACTAGATGGCGCCACAGGTAAATGTAAATGGCGCTATCAAGATGTTTTTGATTTTAATGACCTCTCCCCTAGGAGTAATATCTGACATACGCGACAACATCGCCCGAGGCACGTTTTCATTGACCCCGACGACCCCATAACGGCAGGTAAACTTCCCACGGGCCCACCCGTTCCACCCCGACCACACATACACACGACACCGTCCTCGCCGGCGAAAACGACGACCTCAAACACACAATATCGCGCATTCAACCGGGCGCCCCTCCGATCGATCCCAACAACCAACAACAGCATTAGAGTAGTCCGAAAAAAAAATGACCTCTCTATAGTATTTTTTTTTTAATAAATTCCTATCATCCCTATTGAATAGTAGTTTCAATTAGAACCCTCAAAAGCAGCTTTTTGACCTCACGGTATCTCTTTGTTCATGGGTTTATACAAACAGAAGTAATTAAAACGTTTATTTTCATTGCGATAAATGTATTTATAAACGATAGTTCATATAAATATGTAACAACAACAATTTATGTTATGCAAACACATTTATTCGAGTCAATATCTGTGTACACTATACGTGAATTTTTTTCTGTCAATCTAGAGAAGATTACTATGAAAAGGAAAAGTGAATATGATGCTTATAAGTTCTTTGTTGCGCAATCTAAAGAACAATTATTTTTAGATGAGAAACTGTGGCCTAAAGGCATAATTTTTCGACGCTTCGTGCATTTTAAAACAAAAAGTTCGACTGGGAATACTCATAATTCCCATAACGGCACTATATATCAAAATAATAGATAGTACAACCTACAAATTTGCTAGCTTCAATTGCTCTGTAAACTGTCTGATATAGTTGCTCTACAAGAGACATGGTTACTGCCCAGTGATTTGTTATATTTAAGCAGCATTGATGATGAGTTTACCTCCACTGGGACGTCGGCAGTGGATACGACGGCGGGGATGCTACGCGGGCGACCACACGGTGGAGTCACGATTCTCTGGCGGCACAGTGTATTTCCCCATGTCGTAATAGTGCCATGTGATAACCCGCGTATAACTGCGATAAAACTATTGTTAAGTGAGCGGTCAGTCTTAGTGATAAGTTTGTATATGCCTATAGCCCAAGAGCCCACGACTGCCAGACATACGTCATTTTAGTAAACGTGAAAGTTCTTGTATGTGTGTCCCCAACACAGGTAAGAACGATCCCCAAACATGAAACCTGGATCGTGGTTCCTTTGGCAGGTACCAGGTAACAAAGGTGTAAAAAAATCATATCAAATTCGTTATTTTAAGAAACTCCATATTTTCATATATTGTTCGTAGCATTATTATAACTTGCGCTGCTCATTGCCAGACACTTAGTGTGGTTCCAACCCCCCGCCGGACCCCCCTAAACTATACTATTTTAGAAATAAACTTACGTCATTTTAATAAAGCTCAAATTTATATATATTATTGAGAGTTCTCTCAAACTGAGTTTCCTAAATTGCCAGACAGTTTTCTTGGTTCCTTATCCTACCAGACTCATTGAAACCGTATATTGGTAACAACGGTGTATACAATTTCATATCAAATTCGTTATTTTAAGATGCTCCATTTTTTCACATATTGCTCGTAACAGTATTATAACTTGCTCTGCTCATTGCCAGACCCTTAGTGTGGTTCCAACCCCCCGCCGGATCCCCCTAAACTATACTATTTTATAAATAAACTTACGTCATTTTAATAAAGCTGATATTTTTATGAGAACTCTCAATAATAATTGAGAGTTCTCTCAAACTGAGTTTCCTAAATGTTTTGTGATGAACAAGAATGGACTTGTATAGATGTAGATATGTTAAAAAATGTATCTAACTGTTTTACTTTTGTGAGTGAGGCTCACGGGTCACAGAGATGGTTAGATCACTGTGTAGTATCTAAAGCGGCCGTGGCCTCTGTATGTAATATATACATAGAGTATGACATACTGTGGTCTGACCACTTTCCGTTAATTGTAAAATGTAATTCAGATGTTCTCTCACCTAAAATACATGAAATAAAATCCGTACCTAATAATGTAGTATGGGTATAAGAAGCACAGGTCAAATAGACTCGTATTATAATAACTGTCACACTCAATTATAAACTTTCGATTATCCACCAGAGTTCTATAACTGTGCCGATCGAACATGTAATATTTTACAACATAAACAAACAATAGATAACTTGTATAACGATATAGCAAATGTAGTAAGACGAGCGGCTGTGGCTTGTAAAAGCCCTAAATATGTTAGGCGTTAAAGGGGGTTACAGTAGGTTGGAACAAACACGTTGGCGACCCCCCTAGATGTGCTGTCTATGCATCACAAGGCCGGCCGGCAGACCACTGGGTGGGGGCAAAAAATTGCACCCCGCCCAAGAGGAAGGGGTGGAGGCGGCCAGCCACTCAGGCATCAGGCCGGAGCAGCGGACCACAGGAGGGGATGGACACCAGCTCCCCTCCTAGCGATCAAGGAGGCATGGGCGGCCCAAGTCGCCCCTAGATCGCTACCGGGCCGGGGTGACGACCGCCCGTCCCACCCCTCTACACTAGGCCCGAAGAAGTCGCGCGCATGTCCCCACGCGCCTTCCCCAGGGAAGACGGGGGAAGTGGTGGATTCCAATAGGGAACCCGCGGGGGGAGATAGATGTCAGATCGACCTCCACGCGGTTCCCCCTGGAAACCATCGTGATACATTCCCGGTGAATTTGTCGCGTTGGGCTAACTGATCTGACTTCATGCTCATCCTATCATGCTCCACTGGTGCCCCGCCAGCGTAAACCGATAGCGCAGGCGGGTGCACCATTCCATTATCATCCTTTAAAAAAAAAAAAATAGGGAACCCGCAGAGATGGGGCCCGCTGTAGAGTGGGCCACCGCCGTCGGAGTTGCGGTCGACTATAATTTGATCCCGCGACTCCGGCACATGGCGTTGGATGAGGGACATCTTGGAGTTTTTAGTGAGTAGGAGTCTCACAGTACCCGCGGGCGTCATTATGGTAAACCAAATAGCGGCATATTTGACAATGATATGTGTGAGGCCAGAAAACATTTTAAGAAACGTCTTAGGTGGTGTCAGAACCATCAAGAGCAAATAAAAATGGATATTCTGGCATCTCATCATTCAACAAATGACTTCCGTTCATTCTGGAAAGCCACGAAGAAGCTAAATTCAAAGTCGACCATTCCCGTGTGTGTTGACGGTGTTAGCAATGCCGGGGATATAGCTAATCTTTTTAGGGATCACTTCACGATTAAATCGTCATTGGGGCCCTCGCATGCTATGCTTAGTGTTGAGTCTGGCCAAGAGGTGAAAATTAGATGTAATGCTAAAGAAATAGACCTGATCATAAAATCCATGACTAGAGGTAAGTCAGTCTGTATTGAGCATTTACAGCATGCGGGTCCCCACCTCTCGCGACTGTTGGCTATGCTCTTTAATTGTATCAGTCACTCATATATACCAGAAGAGATGATGAAAACAGTAGTGATACCTATAATTAAGAATAAATCTGGTGATGTATCAAATAAAAACAACTATAGACCCATCTCTCTAGCCACAGTTATCTCAAAGGTATTTGACGGCATGCTTAACTCTAGGTTGACTCAACATATAAAAATACATGACAATCAATTTGACTTTCAAAAGGGATTGTCAACTGAAAAAGCAGTGTCGTGTGTGTGTGAAGCATGCCATCCGATATTATACTAATCGGAAAACGCCAGTCCATGCCATGCTTTCTAGACTTCAAGAGCAGTCCACTAGACCACCTCGGTGGTTTGGTTTAGCACACCGCTTTACGTCCGATGGTCGCAGGTTCGATTCCTCGCACGGAACAAACATTTGTATTCATGAGTATAATTGTTTGTGTCGGTCTGGGTGTTTTCTATGTATAATATGTATGTATTTACGAAAAAAAAAAATCTATGTATTTGTATCAGTTGTCTAGTACCCATAACACAAGCTTTAGTTAGCTTAACTTGGGTCTAGATGGCGCTGTGTGAATGGTCCTGAGATTATTATTATTATTATTATTTGATGGTTTCTTATGATATTTTGTGGAAAAAGCTTGATGAAATTAATTTGCCACCAGATCTCATAAATATCCACAAATACTGGTATGCTAATCAGGCCAACAGGGTCCGATGGGCGGGTACCATGTCACAGTCATACAGATTGGAGTGTGGCGTGAGGCAAGGGGGTTGTCGCCGATACTTTTCAATCTGTATATTAATGAACTGATAGTTGCATTGGGTAGCACTCATGTCGGCTGTCATATAGACGGTGTAAATGCAAATAATATAAGTTATGCGGACGACATGGTGCTTCTGAGTGTCAGTATGTGGACTTAGAAGACTCATGGCTATCTGTGAGTCATATGCGCGTCGGCACGGTCTGGTTTATAATGCAATAAAAAGTAAAGTCGTGGTCTTCGAGGCCAGAGGCAATAATACAGATGTTTTTCCCGAAGTCAAACTCAATGGCATAACGCTGGAAAGGATGTATAAATTTAAATACTTGGGACATCTGTTGAACTCTGACCTTACAGATGACGACGATATTGAACGAGAAAGGAGAGCGCTGGCGGTGAGGGCGAATATGATAGCGCACAGATTTGCGCAGTGCTCTAGGGATGTCAAAATCACTCTGTTTAGATCATTTTGTACATCCTTTTACACTTGCAATCTGTGGGCTGCATACACCCGAAAGTCCTACAGCGGGCTTCGCGTTCAGTATAACAACGCATTCAGGGTGTTGATGGGGCTGTCGCGATGCTGCAGTGCATCAGGGATGTTCGCGGAGTACCGTGTGGATTGTTTTTATGCTACAATGCGGAAAAGATGCGCATCCCTGGTGCGGGGGGTACGTGCCAGTACCAACAGCATCCTGAGCATGATTGCGGGCAGGCTGGACTGTGCGTATGTTAATCACTACTGTACTATTTTTAATGGAATGGTACAGCGGTGATTTTTATACAGATTTTTTATATTTATATGTGAATGTATTTTAATTTATATTTTAACTTAATTTTTACTTAATTAATTAAAGAAATATTAATTTTTACATTATTATTATTTGATATTATTTTGTATATATTATATATTTTTGTGTGTGTAAATTTTGTGAATTTGTCAGTCTGACCTGACCTCATGCTAACATTAATTATAAGAGCATATCTGTTATCACAACAAAGTGCACCGTTCCATTATTATCCATAAACAAAAAAATTGACAAAACGTTATTATTTGTGGGTGCAGTGAGTCCATCCTCTCTGCTGTTCTGATTCAATAATTCAAATTCAAAATATCTTAGTTCATGTATATTACAGACTCTATATATGTCAAATCTACGCGTCGTTCCCCCTTTCGAGATGAGAAGAACCAAGTGATAAATTCTTGGTGAATGTTGTCACATATTTATAATAATACTATTTCATTTTAATTCAAATTTGGGAGAATAGAGTGACCACCAGCATATGCTATATATAAAAAAAAAATCAAAAAAATCAAAAAATTCCATCAGTGTTCGTGCCCTTCCAGACCAGTCCCCACCGTTATCACAGTATGACGGATGAGCCAGCCATCATTATCCATAAACAAAAAGCACATTGAGACAAAACGGCCACAAGTTTGAACTTTATAGCGAGCATGACTGTTTCAGTTACTCCACCAGCATAAACTGTACCAATCACAGTTTTAGATATAGCCTTTATCAGTAAATTAATACAATATGACATCGACGACGACGACAGCACTTAAGTTATAAACTTCTACTAACAAAGTAAACATAATAATTAGGTTCAGTACAATGGGGTTGACATGTTAAGTAATAAAAATCCTAAAATCAATTTATATAAAACTAGCTGGCCCGGCAAACGTTGTTTTGCCTTAAAATAAAAAAAAAATTGGGGTGGACTACCCCTAACATTTAGGGGGATGAAAAATAGATGTTGGCCGATTCTCAGACCTACTCAATACGCTCACAAAATTTCATGAGAATCGGTCAAGCCGTTTCGGAGGAGTATGTGAACGAAAACTGTGACACGAGAATTTTATATATAAGATAAAATAAAAAACATTACATACTTATACACTTGCTTTTTAAGAAAAATAAAAAAAACTTACATGTATATACTTGACTTCTTTACATAGCACATTTAAAAAAAATTGTTTACAATAATACAGATTCATTTTAAATTCAAATTTGGGAGAAAAAATTGACCACCAGCATATGATATTACAAAAGCAAATAGTCTAATCAGTGTTCGTAACCTGAACAGACCAGTCCTCACAAGCAGCACCCGTTCACGAGTATCACGGATATAAAAAATCAATATAGATTTTTTTTTATACTTCACTTTTTTTACTACATTAAAAATATGGCACAGGAACAACAATTTGAAAACTGTAATATAAAACAGCTATTATAAATTCTATTTAAACGATAAATCGGTCAGTAGGTATCGATTAAGACGACTTGTATACATAAGGCCAATAAACAAGTTAATGTCAAGAGACGAACCATTAGTTCATAACTTAACCTTACGTCAGGACGTGTGTTATAAGTTTATATATACATATATTCAATAATTTTCCATTACTCGTTGTTTTCTATTCCCTTTTTGAATATTTATATTTATTATAATAAGAAGTAAAAAGCAATGTTTTTAAATTTCTTACCATAGACAAATATTATTATATTCTTTTTATAAATAATAAAAATAAAAAAGGTATTTGTATAATAATTTAATATCTGTTGATTTGGCATGTCATATACCAAACTGTATTAAGTCTAAAATTAAAAATTTTGGAATATCGACTTTAAAATGTGGACTATTAAAGTTGATTTCGGAAAATTTTCATTTTGAATTGAACGTACCAAATATCTACCTGCATTTTAAATAAAGAAAAGTGAAAATAACTAAAGTGCTCGTAATAAAAGAGTGTTAAAGTGCAAAACACAAGATTTTTTCTTTTTTTATGTGGCTTGGCAGTTCTGTGGATAGTTTTTTAAAATAAAAAATGAGGCAAAGGAAATATTTGTTTTTTCAAATCTACGCATCGATAGTGGTTTTGTCGTCAGCCCAAAATATAAGACAAAAACTTGGTAAATTCGACGAAGTGTTTGCATGGAAGCAACTCACTTACGACATTGATGGGAGTGTATGTGAGTATTTTTTTTATTATTATCTAATTCAAACATTATATAACAATAAAGACATTTATTGAATACTAGCTTTGGCCGCGGTTTCACCCGTATTACATTTATGGCTTATATGATGTTCTGATGTATAAGCTATTAAGTTTATTATTGGGATAAACTTGAACATGACTCTTTAGTATATGGGGATGCCCTACCTTCAAAACAAACCAGGCAGATATAGTTTTAAAAATTTGTTATGTTATTTGGTATGAGGGAATCAAGTTCTTACGTCTAGCAATAATTATAAAAAAAACGATCAAAATGACCATAGTCTGTAAGCATTTGTTAAGACTGATTTTCTGGCGAGAGTAGAGTAGCTACCGGTTATAGTTTGGTAATGGAGCAGGGACTAAACTAGACTAGGGGGCCCCAATTAATAGTGGGGCCCTGGGCCCGTGCCCAGTGTGCCCAATGTGGGGAAGAGGGGCCTGGCTATACCATATCTAAATGAGAACGGATTTTGATGTTCCCTTTTGTGATCGAAATTGACAAATATCTCCGTTATAAATGTTATTAAACAGGTTTTTATGAGACATAACATCATTTCGATTGTTCCATTAATGATCATAGACAATTATTTTCTCATTTGTCATGAGTCAGCAGCACAGACAAAAACTAAACGTTAATGTATACTAGCTACTTACTCTGGCTTCGCTCGGGTGTATATGTATTATATAGGGACGGACAGACAGCGACAGCGGCTTTGTTTTTTATGTAATAATAATAAGAATGTAGTTATTGTTTTTTCATAATATCTAAGCGTTACCACACAACTAAAAGAAGTGTTATTAATGGAACAATAGCCGCTTGTACAAAATTGTTGCGGTAGTTTTTAATATAATAATCATAATAATAGGCATTTTTTCTGACTACATAATGGGACCGACTGACAGCGACAGCGACTTATGTTTTTTATCCAAAGGAAGGACTTATGGAGCGGCTGAAGGCCAACTCCTGCCTGACGGATACGACTTTAGTCTGAGGTCACCGCTAGGGGTTCGGACGTCGGCTCAGGCCGTCGTAATTTCGATCCCCGTTTGAATTGGACGGGGAAATAATAATTAGCCAGAAGATAGTCTGTACAACAAGGCAAGTTATAGGCTCTTAGAGCATTATTTAATTAATTAATTTTTAATTAATAATAATAATAACATGTCAGAACAATTAACACATCTAGTTTTAAATACTATAAATACATATATATCTTTTTTAAATACATACATATCAGACTTATCTATTCAAATGTTTGCATCGTACGAGGAATCGAACCCACGACTATCGGAAGTAAAACGTTGTGCTAAACCACTAGACTCCGAGGCCATCACAAATGTTTAAAGTTTATTATCTATTTTTTATCATTATCTATTATCTATTTAGACTTGTATACAAAAAATATAAATTAGGAAAATTTTTGGCGGTAAACAAACCTTATTTATATGAATATCGACTCTGATAAGTAGATATAAAGATGAAATTGCTTTGAACATACTAATTGTTATTATAAAACTTCATTTGTACTTTGCTTTAGCAGAAATATATACTAGTTGACCCGCGCAACTTCGTCTGCGTTTAATTTCCCCACCTTTTGCAATATTGTTCATTGCAGCTCCGTTCCTATTGGTCGTAGCGTAATGTTATATAGCTTAAAGCCTTCCTCGACAAATGGACTATCCAACACAAAAAGAATTTTTCAATTCGAACCAGTAGTTCCTGAGATTAACGCGTACAAACAAACAAATTCTTCAGCTTCATAATATTAATATAGATATAGAATAATAAAAAAAATTTTTACGGTAAATACTCTGTAGTTGATGATTATATGTTAGTATTTATTTATCTTTGTGTTCATAATTAAGAATTGTATATATCTAAGTAAATTTAATTAGTACAGGTCAACAAGTTATACTACATTTTTTGTGTCACAGTAGTGTTTAGGGAATGAGCACTGCTTATCCTGAAATATAGGATTTTTCCTATTTAGGAAGCAGAGTCTCACCTTATATCATAAGGATCAATGTAACACTGTATTGTACAATAAATAAATAAATATATGCATTTATTAACTATAACTTTTCTTCCAATATTGTTACCATCATTACACGTCTACCAGACGCAAATCTAATTACTTCTCTCCATCCTAAGGTGCCTGGAAGAGACCGCTTTTTAGCGATAAGGCCGCCCATTGATACCTCTTTGTCTTTTTTATTGTATTATATATTTTTTTATCATTTTATACATAATTGTATATGGAATTGTATTTTCTGTGAGAGGAACAGTAAAGAGTTTCATTCATTCATTCATTTATTAGTTAATTAGCTGACGGCCTCGGTGGTCTAGCGGTTCAGCACATCGCCATATTTCTAATGGTCGCAGATTCGATTCCTTGCATTATGCAAACAATATATTCATGAGAATGATTGTTGGTATTCGGTCTGGGTTTTCTACGTATATTATGTATGTATTTACAAAAAAACATCTAAACTCCCGTGATCCCCATTCCGGATTAATATCTCTTAATCTGTATTTTTTTAATGGGGTTAATTTTTTTTATGGGTTAATTTTTTTTATATTTGATAATGGAATGGTGCACCCGCCTACACTAACGGTATAAGCTGGCACCAGTGAACGATGATGAGATGTACATGAGGTCAGATCAGTTAGTCCATCGTGGCAAATTCACCAGGAATTTTCCCCTGGAAACCACATGATGGTTTCCAGGGGAACCACGTGGAGGTCCATCTGACATGGTTCATTGCTAGCTAATGGGACTGTTAGTCCACATTATTAACAATCTGCTTCCCCCCAATGAGTTATATTTGAATGTTTCACCCGCCTGCGCTAACGGTATACGCTGGCGGGGCACCAGTGGAGGATGATAGGATGAGCATGAGGTCAGGTCAGTTAGCACAGCGTGACCAATCACCAGGAATTTATCATGATAGTTTCCAAGATAGACAATTTAGAATGAGCAAGAAACATGTGTGTTGCTTTCTTGAATATTTTTTACACAATAACAAGTAAAAGGCATGCGATAATCAACATAGAAACCGCTACGCACTCATTGACAACAAGAGATTGTTTTATAATAAATTAGCTTTTGCCCGCGGCTTCGCTCGCGTTAATTTATCCCCTTAGGGGTGGAATTTATCAAAATCCTTTCTTAGGGGATGCCTACGTCATAGTAGCTTTATGCATGCAAAGTCTCAGCCCGATCGGTTTAAAATTGACAAAGTTTCATACGAACTTTCATCCCCTTGGGGCCAGAATTAATCAAAATTCTTTCTTAGCGGATGCCTACGTCATAACATCTACCTGCATGCCAAATTTCAGCCCGATCTGTCCAGTGGTTTGGGCTGTGCGTTGATAGATCACTACGTCAGTCACCTTTGAATTATAAATATTTAGATATATAACTATTTTATATATTACTTAAATCTAAGTAATCCACTGAAAATCAGCGCTGTGGTATAATTATACTACAGTATAAATGCTGAGTGGGAGTCACATTCAGTGTTACCAGTGTGTTATAGTTTTTAAGTTGTATAGTAAATAAGAATATTGTAATGCTGAATAAATATCTTTATTATTTACTAGCACTCGCCCCGACTTCGCACGCGTGTACATGTATTAAATACATAAACCTTCCTCTTGAATCTCTCTATACACTTATTAAAAAAAACCGCTTCAAAATCCGTTTTAAAGATTTAAGTATACATAGGGACGGACAGACAGCGACAGCGACTTTGTTTTATACTATGTAATGAGAAACTTAGAATAGAAAATCATTTATTCAAATAAACTTAATTTTAGCACTTTTGAAAAGTCAACATTTTTTTTATCTACCGCTTTTTCGGAAAGCTGTCTCATCACAAGAAGAATGAACAAAAAACTTGTGTGTTGCTCTTTTAAACAATCATTGTAAGTTCACATTTTACAAGTCGAAACGTGTAAAAACAAACTACCAACCAGCACTAATTTATTTAGGCTCAAATATAAAAACACATTAAGATTAAATCAGTCGTAGTGATAAGAGCAGTCCAGTCCCTACAAGCAGCACTCGCTCACGAGTATGACGTATGAGCCAGCCATCACTGCGCTCGACCATATTTTAGGGAGCCCAATGACCCGACCCACCACGCCGCCACATGTCTGGACATTTTAGTGAGCATGACTACTCATTCCACTCGACCTCGTCATAGCTACTTAAATTTATTATCATCATCTGCTTCTTCCTTATCCCATTTATTTGGGGTCGGCGTAATATGTTTTTCCTTTCCATTCATCTCTGTTCGCAGTCATCTCGTCATTCTCACCATATCATCATTCACACAGTCCATTCATCTCTTTTTCGGTCTTCCTCTACTTATAACCATCCACATTCATATGTAACACCGTCCTTAGCATATGATCTTCTTTCCTACGCATTACATGCCCATACCACGATAGACGATTACTCTTTAACCTCTTTTATTATATGGTACTTAAATCTATATGTATACAATATACATTTAAAACAAGAATATAAAGTCTCGACTTAAAATAGACTTACGTGTGACCTTGGTCTAAGAATAAAATAAATGAATATTGACTACAGTTATGCTCAAATTGTTATGGTAAATAAAATCTGATTTAAAAGCGGAGTTACGTCACTTTGAATATTAGAATATTTGAGTGTTAGATTACGCAAGCAATATTTTAGTATTGTTAGAGTTTGAAAATAATAATTGAATATCAATCATTTTATTAAAACTTATTGTTATACTACAATTTTACTAACTAACTAGTATATATATATATATATATATATATATATATATATATATATATATACTAGCAGGGCAAATGTTGTTTTGCCATATAAATTAATAACGCTTTAAAAAAATAGGGGTTGATGATAGAAGGGTTAAAATTTAGGATTGTATGTATTTTTAACTTAGGCTACTTTTATTTTAGAAAAATAAAGT